TACTACTACTACTACTAATAATAATAATAATAATAATATGTAATATATAAGTTCATTTTAAAAAGTGTGAATACATGTATCAAAAATAAACTACACAAAACTTACTGATTAACTTATTTTCCTAGTTAATAAGGAAGCAAAGTGCACACTCTATATTGTTTTATGGTACATTTCACTCTAAACTAACTTGCAAACAGGTTGTTTCCTGGTTTTGTTCCACCTTAAAACAAATAAATGGACACATTTGTTGTCTGTGCAGTTCTGATTATCTCCTTACACTGCAAAAAATGTCCATAACCTTATTCCAACAGCAGAAGGTTTCATGTAAATTGAGAAAATTCAGACTCAACTAAGTGAAATAATCTGCCACTGGAATTAAACAATTGCACTTGGTAAGACGTCTTAAAATAAAGAAAATTTCCACATTAACAAGAATATCACGGTAATCTAACATTCTGCTAAAGAAAAGGATCAAAAATACATTTTTGTTGAATATAACTTGGTTAAATCCACAAGAACGATGTTAAACTGCCATAGCTCGCTCAGAGCGAGCTATGGCAGTTTAAACAGCCATAGCTCACTCTAGATGAGCAAAAAATAAAGGCGTATTTTACTTCTTTGTGTTTTCCTTTAGTCTGGCACATTCACCGAGTTATTCTCGCAACAACGCTGCAGCCCCCACGTCCCTAAGCCCCTTAAACCCCTCGTCATCCCCTTGAATTGAACCAGTTGCGTCGTCTCAACCATCTGTTGGCGCTTAGATTCACGTCAGTAACTTTTAACGGTCGGAGTTAAGGTGCACGTCTGCGTTGTTGTTGTTGACGTGCTCCGGGGCAAACAGGGATCGCCTCGTTTTGCATCACTTTAAGTGATGAACTGGGTTGTTTTAGAGGGGGGGGGGGGGGTACTGCTGTTCTGTGGGCTCGCTGGGCTTGAAATGTTACACCTTCCTTTGCAGCTGGGCTGCATCTGCAATGCTGTTGTCTCCACTGTGATAAAAAGAAAGAAAAAAAAACTGGCCCGAGCACTCCTCCTTTTCCGCCCGGTTTGACCGAACAAATTGCACTCTCTGCGGTGTTCGTAYAGAGTGTCACTCTAGTCGTGAGGTGTAACGTGGCACCACCAGGGTGACTTGGGGATTAATCGAGCAGAATCGAACACTTTTTAAATGCTCACCCACGTCCACGAAGTGATATGTTGTTTGTGGCCTTGCAGGAGAAGAGCTGGAGGTGAAAAACACCAGTAAGTGCAGATGTGGGAAACTCTGCAGGGTACGTGGGGGTGGTGGTGGGGGGGGGGGGGCTGTTGAGGATGGGGCAGGGAGGGAACTGAACAAACTCCAGCCTGCCTTCTGGCCTGGCCAATGGGCCATGGTAATTAGATCTGGCCAATGTAGGCCCTGGGCTTTAGCCAGGGGYCATAAAAGGGGGGCCTGGGGCAACAGACCCCTCATATCACTCAGAGGTCTCCTCTCTTCCACCCAGCACCTTTACCCTCGCTCCTTTTGCTTCCCGACTGCTCAAACGCCACAAGCCATGGATGTCTTCTCCCCGTCCCAGGTCTACTTCGACCGAGTGTGCGCCTCCTCTCCAGACAGCCTGGACTTCGGTCCCAGCGTGGAGCTGGCGGGCTCCGAGGAGGACGAGCACGTCAGGGCTCCCGGAGCCCCCCACCAGCCGGGACACTGCCTCCAGTGGGCCTGCAAGGCCTGCAAACGCAAGTCCAGCTTCGTGGACCGCCGGCGGGCGGCCACCATGCGCGAGCGCCGGCGGCTGAAGAAGGTCAACCACGCCTTCGAGGCGCTGAGGCGCTGCACCTCGGCCAACCCCAGCCAGCGCCTGCCCAAGGTGGAGATCCTGCGCAACGCCATCCAGTACATCGAGAGCCTGCAGGAGCTGCTGCGGGAGCAGGTGGAGAACTTTTACGGCCTGCCTGGGGAGAGCAGCTCCGAGCCGGGGAGCCCGCTGTCCAGCTGCTCTGATGGCGTGGTAAGACCCCTGATCCCCATGTTCAGAGGCCCGCAGGTGTTACTGCGGCTGCAGTCACACCAAGTAGGACAGGCCATGACTCCTTAATGCAAACATCTTTTTTAGTAGTTACACATTTTAAATGTTTTATTCTGCAGTTGATTCTGTTATTTAGTCTGAAGGTGACCACATTTCAGATCATACCAAACAACATAATCATGGACTGACTTAATGCTGTTCCCACCACTAAACACTTTATAGCCTTAATAAACCAAACTAAATCCACCTCACTGAAGCCTGGCAGGGAGGAAAACAAAAAAAACCCAGAGCACTCTGTCCCGCATTCCATCCGGACTGCATGTTCAACACCGCTGCCAGGATTTTCTGCAGATTTACTCGGAGAAAAGTGTCATCTTGCACAAACTGGTGTTGCTTCCACTGATACAATCGATTCGCCACAGTTGGGGCGAGGGGCTGGGGGGGACGGCGGGGCGGAGGGGTAAAGGGGCGCACACTCAGGAACCGCTTTGACTTTCAGATGGATGTGAAATAAAGAGGGCAATAACTTTGGAATTCAGGGATTTATTAGCCTGTCGAGAATATGATGAAGGGCACTGGTTGGTTTGCTATTTTTCTTTTTTTAAATTTTTTTTGGGGGCGGGGGGGTCTTTTCAGCTTATATTTGCGTGAATAAGCATCACATCACTGTTTTTTTAATGTGTGTATTTCTAACAGTTTAACTGTAAATTAATTTTTTTGTTTTTCAGGCTGGAAGTAACAGTCCAGTGTGGCAACACATGAATACAAACTATAACAGCTATTCCTACGGGAAGAACGGTAAGAGTTTCTAGGAGTAAAATGACTCCAATATTTTGTCTTTGAAGTGTTCTTGAGGACAATTATCGGGTTAAAAAACATAAATAAAAGGTTGGAGAAACTACACTCAAAAACAGATGTGGCGGATTTAATAAAAAATATGTAAACTGTTTATTTTACAATTACTTTACTTTGTAAATTTAAGTTAATGCATTACATT